AGAGAGAGAGAGAGAGAGAGAGATCATGAAATGGGCCAGCCAGATGGCTCAGCGGATTAAAGCACTTGCTTAGGCACACTCAAGGACCCGGGTTCGATCCCTGATATGCTGCACCCCGGGGGCACACTGAGAAGGTGACCAAGACTGGGTGTGGTGGCGTGCGCCCACCCGTAATCTCAGCACTTGGGGGGCTGAAAACAGGAGGATCATTACGAGTCCAATCTATGTAGCGAGACCGTGTAGACCCTGTCCTAGCTAGCTCACAGCCTCAGCAGCTGGGAGGCTGACGTGAGAAAATGGCTTCAGCCTGGATAACAAGGAGACTCTGTCTCAATAAACCAATAAATAAACAAGTAAGCATGTTGGGAGAATTATTCCAGGCCTTCATATTACTAAAGCCAACTCCCCTCAAATAAAGTGAGGAGCTACTTTTACCACTCACTAGCCTCCTTCCCTCTTGACACGGTTCACATTCCCTTCAAGATAACATCCGGGCTTTCTCACCACAACCCCTGGCGGTGGTGTCACCTTCTTCGTAGCTACTCAAGGGGCAGAGCTAAGAGGCCTGGTCAAAGGCACAGTCCTAAATTCACAGCAGCAAAGGGCCAGCGGGGCCTCTTTCTTCCTTGGTGAAACCGACATAGCCTTTCCGGTTTTCTCAATCGCTACTTGGTTAGAGCGCCCTCATGTGTCTCCACGTAGTAATGCTTTCGGACTTTTCCAGGACATGGCATTATTTTAATCGCAGTATCAATACAATATTATGCAATGGAAAGTTTTCCTCGTCACACTTCAGGGCCCAGGTTTGACCGCCGGGCTCCCGTCAAGTCGTTCTACTGTACGTTTTAGCCAGGTTCCCTACTTCTACTCAGGCCTAAAGATTTCCTGCTTCTTGTCCACCTACCTACCCCCACCCCAGTGATTTTGAACAGCGCTGGTCACGTATGTGTCAGCTTGGTCTCCCACCACCTTTACTACTCCAAGCTTATCCAGCTCTCAAGATAACTTTTTCTAGGCCCAGAGAGATGGTTCAGTAGAAATGGTCCTGAGTTCAATCCTCAGTACCAAAAAAAAGAGAATTTTTTTCTAATGGGTACATCAAATTTTACTGAAGGACTAGGGGAGACAGTAGTTCCAAAGAACTCGGCAAGAGTTTTAAAATATTTATTAAATATGACTTGTTCTGTAACCTAAGAAAAAGACATTCAAAATGAGACTTCCTGAAACAAAACCTTGACACTTTGGAAGGGCCAAATGGCACCTGAAGACAGCAACATGTGGTAGTGTATGTACACACACACACACCATGACATACACACACACCATGCTCGAACATCTGACGCACACACCAAGGGCTTTCTCTTGCTGAGAATCAGACAGAATGACCAAAAGTCTTTGGAGGAAGGGAAACACACACACACACACACACACACACACACACACGTTATACCTGGGATCCCAAGAATATGCCTCAGGCCAGGGAGATGGCTCAGTAGAATAAGCGCTTCCCTGGAAAGTGCAAGGGCCTGAGTTCAATCCCCGGTTCTGCCAAAAAAAAATAATAATAATAAGCCCAAGACTATGCCTCATTCACTCAGGACCAAGGACGATGGAAACCTGCGGGATTTGCTTGCCACATTTGAAGTTCTTTTGCTACATGTACACTTGTGGAGTTTTCTGAATCAAAGCCCCCTGGCAAACTCCATTGACGATGGCCTTTGGCTTCACTGGAGGGGCATGCTTGGGGGAAGCTGCATATAATTTTTTACAGATCAATTATGATTCCCCACTGACTTCCAGTAAGATTTTTGAGCTGTTGTCTCTCGAGATTGATTGTCACTGTATAGCTAACACTTCAAGTTTAAGTTTCTCTTTTTCCTGTCATCCTAAGAATCCAGTATCCATAAATAAACCAAAAACCTCCTATTTGAACAAAACGCAGGTATTACGAGTGTCATTGTAAATATCCACTCTACATCCAGCAGTTTAGAAGGCCATTTCCAAGGCTATGAGGGGTTTCATCCATTCTATTGCAGAAGAGTAGCAGACAAAGGCTGGTAGTGTGGCTCAGTGGTAGAGTGCTTGCCCAGCACACACAAGGCCCTGGGTTGTGTCCCCAGAACAGCAAAAGATGAATAAGACAAGAAGTAGCAGGTGCTTTGTAGGCTGGTACCTGAGTCCTAAGGGTGTTGGTACTATGCCTCTGCCTTCTACACCGTCTCTCTGGTATCAAATAGCAGAGCCCCTCCCTACTGAAATTGACCTGGGCACCGGGTTCTGGGGCCCAGAAGGTGCAGCTAGCCACCTAAGGCAGAAAGCACTTGCTAAGTAAAGATGAAATGAATTACTAGGAAGCCACCATGGCTTTGCTTTCTGGCAACAGAGTCAGGCAAGGACACGTTTGTCACGGGGCTGTGGCTCTGGTCAGGTGGCTGCCTTTGCAGTCTTTGAACTGGAACTGGAGATATTATTGCTGTTGATAGGAAAGGAATTACCTGGTTGTGGCAAGGAAAATTAATAGTCTAAGCAGCTCTCCATCCTCCATTTTCCATGCTAGCATTCTGATTTTTTTTTCTGCAACTGTTTGCATATTCTGGAAGTGGGAGTGTGTGTGTGTGGTTTGATGTTTACAGATTTGGGGTTGCAGAGGGGAGTTTCCAGAGCAACGGAAGTAACTGCTTGTCAGTCAGAGCTCATTTTGAAAATGAAAGCCTGCAAGTGTGGGACCCACTCTGGGCCTGGGCCTCATCTCTGGTGGCTTTGGCCTGCTGCTGGCTCAAGAAGAAACCACCCAATAACTATACTATTTTATTTTGAGGAACTGACCAAATACACAAGTTGCTTTAAGTGTCCTGCAGATTCAGTCTGAGGCAAGGATATGTGAATGGGCAAGGGGGCTCCAAGTACAGATGCACACTTCCAAATCGCTTTTGCTGTTGTGCTCTCACTGTTGCGCTCTCTCTCTCTCTTCTCTCTTTCTCTCTCTCTCTCTCTCTTCTCTCTCTCTTTCTCTCTCTCTCTCTCTCTCTCTCTCTCTCTCTCTCTCTCTCACACACACACACACACACACATTTTCCCAGGCTGCCAAGTCAGAACAAGTAATTCTTTTGCACCTACCAGTTTATAGGTTTTTGTTTTTTAACAGAGGGTCTTGCTGTGGAGCCCAGGCTACCTCAAACTTGCGATCTTCCTGCCTCAGCCTCCCAAGTACTTGGGAAGAATTTACAGCTTGACATGTCAGAACAAGAAAAGAGAAACAGAACATAAGGGCCATCTATGCTGGCCACCAAAGAAGTAGTAGAAACAGAGGGCTGGGAAAGGGGTGGGGTGGGGCTCAGGCCCAGCTGGGGGAAACAGGAGGCCTGCTGAGGAGGTGGCCACAGGCATTGCTGAGGCAGGGAGAATTGCCCCAGAAGGAAGCTGTGAGGGAGGGTGTTCTGGGGGGAGGAGGGCAAGCCGAAGCTTTCCTCAGCTTAGCACAGGTTGGAGTTTGGCGCTTTGCACTTGATAAGCCTGGCTTCAATGTCAGTCACTCAGCACCAGAACAAAGGCTACCTTGTGAGCTGGCCTGCTCTGCTGTGTGCTTCCTGCTGGGTGACCTTGGGCAGGTGTTATAGCCTCTCTGAAAACTGGGAATCCTAATGATACTCAGTTCCTAAGGTCACCGGGAAGATTAAATGAGCTAATATACAGAGATACTCAGGAATGGATTACAAAAGCAAAAGCTGTCATGAAGGAACGCTCAAAATACTTGGGGCTGGACCCAAACATTTGAAGAGAAAGGGGGAAAATCTGGCACCTTCCATCACTGGTTCCCCGCCCCCCCTTCAGACAACTCCAGGCTCTGCCTCTCTGCCTCTCCCAGAATCGTCTAACCTTAATCACAGTTGAGTCTCTTCCTGGCTCAGAAGTCTTCCACGGCTCCCTATTGCTTGTGGGTTGAACTTGTTAACATGGTAAGGAGCACGTGGCAAGAATTACTGCTTCGTGAGGAGAAAGAAGAGCAAAAAGAAGGCTGGTGTTGCGCTTAGAAGGTAAAATATTCTCTTTAAAAGACCCTGAAGCTCTGAATTTGCAGGATCAGCAGGGCCACATCTCCGAAGAGGGCAGGGTGCTGGCTCAGATTCACCTGCAGCTGCTTCTTAGGCCAACTTGGGAACGCTTGTAGGGGAGGACAGAACGAAAAGAGGGCCTAGAGCCCGGAGTGGCGGGGCAGCAGGGGACTATCCCTTGTCAGTTCCCGGGAAGGGCTTCGGCCAGGACGCTGGGCTCCGGTTTCTCCGCGGGAAACCCCGAGCAGCACCGGTGCCACGGACAGGCTCAAGGTCACCCAAAGGGCCGGGCAGACAAACCTGAGTCACCTGCTGCAGCCAGGTGGTTTCACTGATTGCCAGGCGCAGCACGAGGGCGGCTCGGGGACAAAGTGCGGGGAGATTCCTGAAGAGATAAGAGGGGAGGGCGAAGGAAGGGGGTGGAGCGAGCACCCTAGAGGTCAAAGATCCGGCGCCCAGAGGCGGGCTCAGCCCGCCTGGCGGGGAGGAGGCGCCCCAGAACCTCTCTACACGGCCTCAGCTAGGATGCTGAGAGCGCAGGCCGCCCAGAGCCCAGCCCGCACCGCGCCCCTGCTGGCCCGCCCGCCCGCGGCTGGAGGCGGGGCCGCCCAGCTCACCTGGCTGTTAGGGGGAGACCGCCCGCGTCTAGGGACACTACAGCGGGGCTCGCCCCGGGCCTGGGCCGCACCTCGCGGCCCTCCACGCCCCCCGCCGCGCGCCGGGCCCTCCCCTAACTCGCTCCCTCCTCCCTCCGCCCTCCCTCCAGCCCAGTTGCTCAAGCCGCTTCCTTCCCCACCGCCAGCCCCAGTTCCTCTCCCGGTGGGGCCCGGGAAGGGCGACGAACGCTTGACGCCGCGGAGGCGTCCGCCAGACCATGGCCCAGCTCCGAGGGGCCGCGGACCCTGCGCCCCAGGCCTCGGACGCGCCCACCTCGCAGCCGCGCAGCTCGAGAGCGGACACCGGCAGCCTAGGCAGGTACCGGGGCGCTGCCACCGCCTCCCGGGAAGCCCCCTTTCAGGGTTTGCTGACGCTTTCCGGAGTGGGTTCGGGGCGCCGGCGGGGAACGCGGAGGGAGCTGCCTGGGCAGCAGGGGGCGGCTCCCGCGGGGCGGCCGTCTGAGGAGCGCGCCGAGGAGCCTGCCCCGGGCGGCGGCCCCGGGGGCAGCGGACTATGCCTGGAGCCACGGGAGCACACGTGGATCCTGGCGGCCGCGGAAGGCCGCTTTGAGGTGCTGCGGGAGCTGCTAGAGGTGGAGCCGGGGCTGCTGCTGCGGGGCGACCCGATCACAGGCTACGGCGTGCTGCACTGGCTGGCCAAGCACGGCCGCCACGAGGAGCTCATCCTAGTGCACGATTTCGCCCGGCGCCGGGGACTGCCGCTTGACGTGAGCTCCGCGGGCAGCGGCGGCCTCACGCCCCTCCACCTGGCTGCGCTGCAGGGCCACGACATGGTCATCAAGGTGCTAGTGGGCGCCTTGGGAGCCGACCCCACGCGTCGCGACCACAGCGGCCGCCGGGCCTACCACTACCTGCGTCCCGATGCTGCGCAGAGTCTGCGGGAACTGTCAGGGGCCGAGGACTGGGAGCCAGCGCGCGGCAGCGACCGCCACAACACCAACAACAACAGCTGTACCGCTGCGTGGCCGCCGCGACGGACCCCAAGCACTGTGAGCGCCAGGGCTGTGGAGACAAACAGAGCGGCGACCCCGCTGGCCAGAGTGAAAGACGCCGCGGGCAGCCGGGTGGCGCAAATCCATGGTCTCTTCCGCCATCTGTTCCCCTTCTTCCAAGACCGTTGAGGGCGACAGAGATTAGAGAGCTAGGAGTGGCGAGGCCTCATCTTTGATGGTTTCTGCCAGCGAAACAGAGGCGCCTCTGATGCAACTTGGACCTGTGAGGAGCAGACCACACCGGCCCCACTCAGGGGCCTGTCCCAGGCCTCTGGAAGCCGCCACGCAGAAGGACCGGGAGACTAAGGAAGCCCCTAAGGGAGGGAGAGCCCAGAATTAAACTCAAAACTTTTGGGACCAACAAGCTAGGATCAGGGAGCTGGTCCTGCTTGGGAGAGGAAACCGCTTCAGTAGCCATTTCGGAGCAATCACAAGCACTGATTTATTGGGAAGCATCCACCAGAAGAATGAGTTCAAACTGTAAACCACTGTTGCTGAGGAGACACCCCAATGCCTGCCTAATTGCCAGCGTTGTTGGTCAGCCCCTGGTGATGGATGGGTAGGCTACCCCGGCCTTGCCACTACTGTTTTAATGTATCACAGGTGACTTCCAAAGTATATTAAAGTGCAATCGTTTCTCCTTTCACAGACAAGAGTGCCTTTTTTCCTTAAGGACAGGGACAAGCTGTATACGTTTGTAGGGAAGAGGCCACCAACCCAACCAGGCCACTAGCTAGGGGGGTCCAGGCTCTGGGGATGATTCTCAGACCAAATGGCTGTGCACTGAAAAAAGTCGTCTCCCCCTTGGCTCTAGAGCCACACAGCTCACTTGTCTCCTGAGCTCTTTGGCTTCGAGGTCTGCCCTGGGTGAGTCTCATCCTAGAGCGGTTATGTAGGGGGCCTAGTGTTGCTGAGAAGTCTCTAATTTTACAGTCTCTGATATTTTCGTGGTATCATGTGATTTATTTAACTTGTACCCTCCAGTGAGAAGCCGTCTGGTATTTTTTTTCACGTTTGGGCTTTCCTCATCTTTTTTTTTTAAATTAAGCTCAATACACAAATTTTGCAAAACACCTTCCCTTCAGAAACAGCATAAATTCAATAGAATATGAAAGGGTTGGCTCAGCCTGAAAGGAGAGAGCAGTTGGTGGCCAGTGATCCATGCTGCCTTTAGACAACACTGCATCTTTAAAAGAGCACAGCAGTACCGTAGCTGGGTGCAGAGTTGCCTGCATGTCGTCCCATTTCCTTGGGAGACGTGATAGGCGCAGCAGAGAAGCGGGCAGAAAGAAGAAGAGAAAGGGGCTTTGCTTTCTTTAAGGATACGGGAGGGAATGGGGAAGGATGAGGAATTCTCTATTGGAACAAAGGGACACTGAGGCTTTTATGGCCTTTCACCAGGGATGGAGTTTAGAGGGGATGTTTAGATATACCTGAGGGAGCTGATTGGAGTCTTCCCTGAGGCGGCGGGAATGGTGGAAGTAAATTATGTCTCAGGCTAAGTTGGAGAAGAAGGGGAAGGTGGTCTTGGGAAAGATGGGCCTTTGTTTTAAGGGCATCAGCCATATTAGATGACCACCATAATGATTCTAGCAGTTCATTCTAGGGCCAGAACCTATCAAGATGGAGGCGGGAGGGTCACAAGTTTCAGTTCAAAACCCAGACGATTTAGCAAGATCCTGTGTCCAAATGTTAAAGCCTTTTAAAGGGCCGAGTGTTTAGCTCCGAGGGAGGGTGCCTCGGTTCAATCCCTAGTACCACAAGTAACTTAATGAACTAGTGCTGTGTCTGGCAGCTCGACTAGCACTTAAAGGAGTGTGCCCTAGTCCTTGAACAGTGGCCCACAATCTCCATCGTGAGCCACCTCAGCCAGGATTATATTAAGAGGTTTTTCCTGTCCATTAAATGATCCAATCTCTTCCAGTTCCCATTTTCATCCTGCCCCATACCTCTAGGAACTACACCTTACCCACATTTACACAGTATAATAGATTAGTTCCTTTTTCTTCTAACTTTTCTTTGGTGATTAAATCAAAGTAGGGAAGTGCAGAGCTGGCGAGATAGCTCAGTGGACTAAGCACTTGCTTTGACAAGCGCAGGGACCAGGGTTCGATCCCCGGTCCTGCATGCCAGGCTGAGCCATTGACTGAGTCTGGGTGTGGTGCACGCCTGTAATCGCAGTGTTGGGGTGGCTGAAAACAGGAGGCTCACTTGGAGTTGGGGCCGCATAGTGAGACCCTGTGCCAAATACACAAATGAATAAAAACAAGCATAGCAATGTATTGAGCGCTACTCAAGCCCCCAGAGAGAATAATTATATTTACTGTGGTATTAGGCATTGAACCTGCGGGCAGAGTGAGCAGTTCCAAGATTCTGGCATTTGGTATTGGCATCTTCCAGTAGCCTCCTCTGTCCCTGTGCCTGTTCTACAGATTTGGGACTGTGGTTTGTGTTCCATGTCCTCGCCCCTTGACAGCTGTCCAGGTGGGCAGGGCTTCCCGCCACACTGCTGCATTTGTAGGCTCCTGGCTTGGAGAGAAGACTGGCAGGTTGGCATGAGCTAAGCATTCATAGGGCACTCTTTTTTTTTTTTTTTTTAGAACCAGGGATTGAACGCAGGCCCTTGCACTTGCCAGGGAAGCACTTATTCCACTGAGCCATCTCCCTGTCCCCAGAGCACTCTTATAACAGTCTTATACATATAAGAAAATTTGGAAGCTAAGCACCTTAACTTTTGGCATATTTGGGTACCCAAAGCAAACATTTGCCCTGCCCTTTCCAACATGAAAATCAAATCAGCTAAAAGATCTGAAAATGCCTTTTAATTTTTTTCCTGTAGTCAGCTATTCCCCACAGATTTTTTTCTCACCATGTGATACTGCCTACCCTACCTCCTCCGTGTAAAATTGAGATCTGGCTGCAGGGGACAAACTCCCATGCTGAAAGCTCCCCCTGCCTACCATCAAGCCTTTGGCATTTCTGGTATGCTTTCGAGGCAAGACTGGTATGCTCACCCCAAGAGACAGAGCAAATTCCCTGAGAAACCACTTTCCAGGGGAGCGAAGTGGAGTCGAGCAGATGGTATAAAACTAACATCTGAGTAGTGTGCCCTGGGCCAGAGATGGGAACGGGCAGGGCCCTGCCAGGTAAGCAGGCAGGTTGGGCTCAGAGGTGCTGAGGGCACACCAAGGGTAGGGCCCAGGCTCAGCGAAAGGTGCAGGACAGGCCTTCAGGTGAGGAGGACATGGCCAGTGATGTTAGCAAATGCCCAGAACTATTAAGTCAGCTGGTTTGGTGGGAGCTAGGGAGCTACTAATTGCAAGGCTGAATAAGCTGCTGGGCTCCCAATCACAACAAAAGGAAAACAGACTATCAAGAGGTAGTTGAGGGCTGGTGAGTTGGCTCAGTGGTCTAAAGCACCTACTTAGAACAAGCTTAGCTAAAGCACAGGGATCGTGGTTCAATCCCCCAGCACCACATGCCAGCCAGCCCTGCCCCCTGGTGGGCTGAGCTGGCCACACACACACAAATTTTTTAAAAAATAAAAAACATCTTTAAAAAAAGGTAGTTGAGAGTCATGGAAGGTTTCTGAGCAGAGTGATGTGACTTTGGAAAGTCACTTGGCAGTCACCTGGAGGGTACATGTGCCAGGGAGAAAATTGGGGACCAATATGTCAAAGTAAAGTGACTCTGCAGCAGTGTTTCAAGAAAAGTCAGGCTTCCACCAGAGCATTTCAAGACCCAGCTGAGGGCAGCACCTCCACACTACTCCAAAGCCTGTGCTCTGCTGAAACATACCTAGAAGCCCCAGACAAAACTGACTGTGTGGAGTCCCAAGGTTGAAGCTGGGTTGAGAACTCCCCTCCTCCCCCACCTCTATTTCAGACAGACAGTACATACATACATAGTACACAGTGGCTGCTGAAGCAAAATTCAAAACCACTGCTGTATGGGGCTGGAGAGATAGGTCAAAGGCATTGAGCACCTACCTGACAAGCACAAGGACTCGAGTTCGATCCCCCACCCCACACGCCGTGTGGTCTCAGTCTCTGCCCCGGATCCCCAGCACACCATCTCTGTAATCCCAAATTGAGGCAGGATGATCTCTGTGAATTCAAGACCAGCCTGCAGGCTACAAGAATGAGTACAAGGCATAGGGAGACCCTGTCTCAAATTTAAAAAAAAGAAAAGAAAAACTCTGATGTGGTAGGAATTGCAGTACTTAGCCTAACCTGAGTTCAAATCCTGCCTCTTGAGCAAAGTGTTTGCCTCTCTGAGCTGCAACTCCCTCCTCAGTAAAGTGGAAACAGTATGGTCTCTAGTATTCCCCGACCTTCAATGGCTTCTATGGCTGTATGTGCTGGCACTTACCAAGATGAAGAACCGGAAATGTCTCCCTTGGCTCTGTGTTCTCTCCCAAAGTCCCTGCATTCCTTCCCTACTTGTCCCACCGGAGCCCACACTCTGCTCCAGCCACACAGTCCCTGCTGGCCCAGCAAAGCCTGGTTCTTCTGAAGTCTGGGATCCCTACATGCTGTTCTGCTGTTCCCTCTCCAGAAGGAAACACCTCACCAGGCCCATGCCTACTCTTAATTTTTTTTTGTACTGGGGATCAAACTCAGGACCTTGTGTTTGCCAGGCAGGTCCACTGAGCTATCTTAAACCACTGAGCTATCTCCCTAGCCCCCCACTCTTAAATTGAAAAATTAAATTTTATCTTTCCCCCCCTTGTACCAGGAATTGAACTCAGGACCTCGGACTTGCCAGTCAGGCACTTGTGCCACTGAGCTATATTCCTGGCCTACAATATTAAATTTTAGCACTTGGAGGCTGGCTTTCCTGCCCCTCAGGCTAGGTTGGCACCCTACCCATAAACTCATAATACTATGTGCATCATCTTATAGCCCTAATCACAACTGCAGTATATATATATATA